CGTTTCAGTAACCTGATGCAGATGTCCCGGCGTTCCAGTAACCTGATTGCATGATGTCCCGGCGTTCCAGTAACCTGATGCAGATGTCCCGGCGTTCCAGTAACCTGATGCAGATGTCCCGGCGTTCCAGTAACCTGATGCAGATGTCCCGGCGTTCCAGTAACCTGATGCAGATGTCCCGGCGTTCCAGTAACCTGATGCAGATGTCCCGGCGTTCCAGTAACCTGAGGCAGATGACCCGGCGTTCCAGTAACCTGATGCAGATGACCCAGCGTTCCAGTAACCTGATGCAGATGTCCGGGCGTTCCAGTAACCTGAGGCAGATGACCCGGCGTTCCAGTAACCTGATGCAGATGTCCCGGTGTTCCAGTAACCTGATGCAGATGTCCCGGCATTCCAGTAACCTGATGCAGATGTCCCGGCGTTCCAGTAACCTGATGCAGGGATGTCCCGGTGTTCCAGTAACCTGATGCAGATGTCCCGGCGTTCCAGTAACCTGATGCAGATGTCCCGGCGTTCAGTAACCTGATGCAGATGTCCCCGGCGTTCCAGTAACCTGATGCAGATGATGTCCCGGCGTTCCAGTAACCTGATGCAGATTACCGGGCATTCCAGTAACCTGATGCAGATGTCCCAGCGTTCCAGTAACCTGATGCAGATGTCCCGGCATTCCAGTAACCTGATGCAGATGTCCCAGCGTTCCAGTAACCTGATGCAGATGTCCCGGCGTTCCAGTAACCTGATGCAGATGTCCCAGCGTTCCAGTAACCTGATGCCGATGTCCGCGGCGTTCCAGTAACCTATGCCGATGTCCCGGCGTTTCCAGTAACCTGATGCCGATGTCCCGGCGTTCCAGTAACCTGATGCAGATGTCCCGGCGTTTCAGTAACCTGATGCCAGATGTCCCCGGCGTTCCAGTAACCTGATGCAGATGTCCCGGCGTTCCAGTAACCTGATGCAGATGTCCCGGCGTTCCAGTAAACCTGATGCAGATGTCCCGGCGTTCCAGTAACCTGATGCAGATGTCCCGGCGTTCCAGTAACCTGAGGCAGATGACCCGGCGTTCCAGTAACCTGAGGCAGATGACCCGGGCGTTCCAGTAACCTGATGCAGATGACCCGGTGTTCCAGTAACCTGATGCAGATGACCCGGCGTTCCCATTAACCTGATGCAGATGTCCCGGCGTTCCAGTAACCTGATGCAGATGTCCCGGCGTTCCAGTAACCTGATGCAGATGTCCCGGCGTTCCAGTAACCTGATGCAGATGACCCGTTGTTCCATAAACCTGATGCAGATGACCAGGGAGTTGTCCTAATGATCTCAAATGCCCATTGATTTGCGCTCTCTGGTGAGTACAATCTACAGCCATATATTCTAATACACCATCATGGATCCCCACTGAATACACCTGAACTGAATATTTCTTCACTATTTGCACCTTGAAACGCCAACTTGGGGATGTTTCCCACAACTCTATTGTGCCAAACGCCCTCAGTGCCTTCATTTATTTACTATATGTTTTATCATACTGCTATAGACTGAGACAATCACAGACGTGGCCATTTACATTCTATCAATAACATAGTTTTGACTCAGTCACCAATGGATTTATAATCTTCTATGTTTTTGTCACATTTTTTATTACTGCCATGTTTATTTTATATGTTTTTAGAAGGTTTTAGAGTTTTACCTTTTCAATTCTAGCAGCTCCTTCAGTATTATATCCAGCCTCATTTTTGACTTTTTTATATACTCTATGTTGTACACATTGACATACTCCTGTACCCCTGCACTATATACTATGTTGTACATTTACATACTCCTGATAACCCCCCACTATATACTCATGTTGTACATTCCACAGTCCCTGACCCTGCACTATATACTCTATGTTGTACATTACATACTCCTGAACCCCTGCACTGATTATATCTCTATGTTGTACATTACATACTCCTGACCCTGCAACTATATACTCTATGTTTGTACATTATATACTCCTGACCCCTGCACTATATACTCCTATGATTACAGACATACTCCTGACCCTGCACTATATACTCCATGTTGTACATGACATACTCCTGACCCTGCACTATATACTCCATGTTGTACATTACATTCTCCTGACCTCTGCACTATTACTCTTATGTTGTACATTATATACTCCTGACCTCTGCACTATATACTCTATGTTGTACATTACATACTCCTGACCCCTGCACTATATTACTCTATGTTGTACATTACATACTCCTGACCCCTGCACTATATACTCTATGTTATACATTCCATACTCCTGACCCCTGCACTATATACTCTATGTTGTACATTACATACTCCTGACCCCTGCACTATATACTCCATGTTGTACATTCCATACTCCTGACCCCTGCACTATATACACTCTATGTTGTACAGTACATACTCCTGACCCCTGCACTATATTACTCTATGTTGTACATTACATACTCCTACCCCTGCACTATATACTCTATGTTGTACATTACATACTCCTGACCCCTGCAACTATATATCATCGCATGTTATACATTCCATTACTCCTGACCCCTGCACTAATATACTCTATGTTGTACATTACATACTCCTGACCCCTGCACTATATACCTCCATGTTGTACAATTCCATACTCCTGACCCCTGCACTATAATTAGACTCTATGTTGTACATTTACATACTTTCCTGACCCCTGAACTATATAAACTATGTTGTAATACATTACATTCTCCTGACGATTACCCTGCACTATATACTATGTGTTGTAATTAGAATCCTCCTGACCCCTGCACTAAATACTCATGTTGAACATTACATACTCCTGAACCCCTGCCACTATATACTCTATGTTGACATTACATACTCCTGACCCCTGCCACTATATACTATGTTGTACATTAACATACTCCTACTACGCCTGCACTATATACTCTATGTTGTACATTACATACTCCTGACTCCTGCACTATATACCTCTATGTTGTACATTACATACTCCTGACCTCTGCACTATATACTCTAATGTTGTACATTACATAGTCCTGAACCCCTGCACTATATACTCTAAATGTTGTATCATTACTTACTCCTGACCCCTGCACTATATACTCCTAAATGTATGTACATTACATACTCCTGACGCCTGCACTATATAACTCTATGTTGTACATTACATACTCCTGGACCCCTGCACTATATACTCTATGTTGTACATTACATACTCCTGACCTCTGCACTATATACGCTATGGTTGTACATTACATACTCCTGACCCCCTGCACTATACACTCTTTGTTGTACATTACATCCTCCTGACCCCCTTGCACTATATACTCTATGTTTTACATTACATACTCCTGACCCCTACACTATATACTCTATGTTGTACATTATACTCTTGACCCCTGCACTATATACTCTGTTGTACATTACATCCTCCTGACCCCTGCACTAATATATCTGTTGATGTACATTACATACTCCTGACCTCTGCACTAATATACTCTATGTTGTACATTACATACTCCTACCCCTGCACTATATACTCTATGTTTGTACATTACATACTCCTGACCTCTGCACTAATATACTCTATGCTGTACATTACATACTCCTGACCCCTGCACTATATAACTCTATGTTGTACATTACATCCTCCTGACCCCTGCACTATATACTGCCTGTTGTACATTACATACTCCTGACTTTTGCTCTCCTCCCCCTCCCCCTCACTGCTATATATAATACACATAATAATGGATTCTCTTTTGTTCCCATTCCCATTTCCTCCCAGCTGGACATTTTATATCGGATGAGGTGTGATTGGAGCACAGACTTTTACATGGTGATAATAATGTGATAACATCCTCCAACTTTGGACCCTTAAACAGAAAGTGATAATGAGGAGGTCAATACCCCAATGATGGTGGTCTTCAGGATCAGTCCAGTCTTCATCTTGTTTTATGTTGTTCTCCCCCCATCCTCACTCTCTGACCTCGGGTGGGGCTCAGCCCCGCTTTTCTTCATGACTAAATCATGGAGTAAATAAGGAAGTGCAGTACTTCTTGTGTTGGGAAGATGGCGATGAGTGATAGAGGGGGGTGGGGACCCTCGTCCTATAATCCCCTCATCACTGTCCCTCCTATAAAAGACAGTTCTGGTTGTTTCTTCACTCTCTTGATGACTAAGTCCATGAATAAAGAAATGACCTGGTAGGAGATCAGAGGAGCCATTTCCTAGTTCCCTTGAGTGGAATTGTAAGCTCCTCAGAGACCAAGCTGCCTGATGTGGGCGGAGTCCTGGTTTGGGGAACCAAATCACTCCTGTCTAGTAATCCTCTTTGTCCTTTGTATTTTAGTCCATGGCCGGGAGATGAGGAAAACCTCTGAGGATTGTCTCACTTTGTCTCCAGACTGGAAAGTAGAAGATGAGGACATCACACAGTATAGTCCAGGAGAAAACCCGGCTCCCTCCAATGTCCATCCGTGCACCACCCCCAGTGTGTAGATGGACCATCGGATTCCTCGTATCCTGAGGAACCTCAGACTGTGCGGGACCGGGCCGGCCTTCCAACAGGGAAGAGCTTCTCCTGTACTGAGTTGCGGGAAGGGGTATTCCATTATAGATCCCGTCTTAATAGGCATAAAAGATCTCACACGGGGGAGAAGCCGTATTCCTGTCCTGAGTGCGGAAAATGTTTTTCAAGGAAGTCCAATCTTTACACACATCAGAGATCTCACACGGGGTGGAAAACCGTATGCCTGTTCTGAGTGCGGGAAATGTTTTTTTCAGTGAAGTCCCACTCTTTACAGACATCAGAGATCGCACACGGGGGTGAAGCCGTATTCCTGTCCTGAGTGCGGGAAATGTTTTTCACGGAAGTCTCATCTTTACACACATCAGAGATTGCAACACGGGGGAGAAGCCATATTCTTGTCCTGAGTGCGGGAAATGTTTTGCACAAAAACCAGATCTTGTCAAACATGAAAGGTCTCACACAGTTGAGAAGCCGTATTCCTGTTCTGAGTGTGGGAAATGTTATTCAGAGAGATGTCCAGTCCTTTACACACATCAGAGATCTCACACAGGGGAGAAAACCATATTCCTAGGTCCTGAGTGTGGGAAATGTTTTTCAGGGAAGTCCCATCTTTATAAACATCAGAGAACTCATACAGGGGGGAAAAGCCGTATTCCTGTCCTGAGTGCGGGAACTGTTTTTTGGCCAAGTCCAATCTTTACAAACATCAGAGATCTCATACGGGGGAGAAGCCGTATTCCTGTCCCTGAGTGTGGGAAATGTTTTTCACAGAAGTCTGATCTTTCCATACATCAGAGATCTCATACGGAGGGGGAGAAACCGTATTCCTGTCCTGGAGATGCGAGAAATTTTTTTCACAGAAGTCCCCATCTTTCCCACACATCAGAGATCTCACACGGGGGAGAAGCCGTATTCTTGTCCTGAGTGCGGCAAATGTTTTTCAGTGAAGTCGTGTCTTTCCAGACATCAGAGATCTCACACGAGGAGAAGCCATATTCCTGTCCTGAGTGAGGGAAATGTTCCTCACTGAAGTCCTGTCTTCTTGTACATCAGGGGTCCCACACAACCCTGGAGGTGTATTAGTGCCTTGAGTGGACGGGAAAATGTCTTCTAGATGAATGTTGCTGGACATCCCAGCTCTCATGTGGGGAAGAAGCACCCCCTGATATACACCTCATAGATATACTCCATGGCTGATCTTTCATCATGGAAGAAACAGTTCATAAGGAGATCAGAGGCCCCCCAAAGAACATGGATGAAGTGTGGGACCCGGTTGGCCATTGATAGCAGGAGAAGAAAGAAAAATGGAGTCCTTGCCCTGTGATTGGCTGAGTACATTTGTGGTGGGAGATTTCACAAACACTTGGAGGTCTATTATTAATACTTTGTAGACAAATGTTCCAAGCACTCATTAGGCCCACAGTTGGAGGTGAGGATAATACTTGCATGGTGGGGGATCACTGAAGAGGTGGGTGGTAATAAAATGTCCCAATTCTAGAAGAGTGACTGATGGTGTACACATGGAAGCAATGGAATTGTGTGTATACCGGGAATGAAGGAGTGATTGGTGAATGCACATATTGGGACTTTCCCGTGCCTTTCTCCATACATGTTTCTTCTTGTATGTTTCCCGTGATACAAATGTCTGTGTATATGATCGGCACATGATGGTCTGTCTATGACAAACGTTTCATTGATCTGATCATTTCCATGGTGATTGGTTGATGGGGGATGGAAAGCACAGAGAGCAGGAAGTAGAGCGCCATCCTTTCTACCTTTCTCTATTCCTAGTTCAGATTTGTAGCAGAAATCCCCAACATGTAGCAATACACGGACAAATTGATATCAGACAATGAGGCCGAGGAAGGCCAATCAGGAAGCTGGGGGTGGTGCAGCATAGACTGGAACAGGGTCCTCCAGGAGTGCAGCTCACACTGCGGGCAGAACTCCTCCTACTGGGACATTCAGGCTTCACACAGCTACAGCTGCACTCTCGGGACTTGCCACGCCTGGACTGTATATGGGGCGGGGTGGAGGGATGAGGAGCAGGGATTGGCTATACATATGTCTGTATCCCCTTTCTAATCCCACATGGCAGAGATCGGGATTCCTTTTTATTCCCTTTCTAGCTCCCTTCTTTTCTTTCCCACCCCCCCCCCCCCCCTTCTCCCTTCTACATTTGTAGGATGTATTGTAGGATGTATAGATGTTGATGTGATCCCCGGTCTCCTCACTCCATCACACATTGGAGAGCAGAACCCAGCAATGCTCTATGTACATCATCTGCAATGTCTATCCAGTCATTAATGTCACCTGTTCTCCCTGTTTGTAACACCCAAATGACGATGTTTTCTTTTTTTTATTGACATAAAACCCAATGATGGTAAAAATTATTGTAGGCCCAAAATATCTATCACACTAGTAACAAAAATACAATCCCAGTATCTATCCCGCCATTTGTAGACGCTGCAACTTTCACAGAAAACCGATTCATTTACACGGATTGGGATTTTATTTTTAGCAAAGACACGGAGCAGAATACATTCTGGACGAAATTTATGATGAAATTTAATTTTTTTTTTGCTGGACATGATTAACCCCTTGCCCTCCAGAGGATTTACCCCCCTTCCTGACCACGCCTCTTTTGGATACTCAGCGCTGCACTAATTCCACTGATAATTGCGCGGTCATGCAACGCTGCACTCAAACAAAATTTACGTCCTTTTTTTCACACAAATAGAGCTTTCTTTCGGTGGTATTTGATCACCTGTAAACAAAAAAAGACTGAAAATTTTGAAGAAAAACAAAATTGTTTACTTTTGGCTATAAAAAAATATATAGTAAACTCAAAGTTAGTCATAAATTTAGCCCAAAATGTATTCTCCATGTTTTTTGGTGTTTTTGGTGAAAAATCCCACTAAGTGTATATTGATTGCTTTGTGTGATAGTTATATCTACAAACTATGGTATAGATAATGGAATTTACACCTTTTTGTTGCTATACAGCGCTGCGCTAGTTTAACTGACAATTGCGCGGTCATGCAATATGGTACATAAATGAAATTTACATCCTTTTGAGCTTTCTTTCAGTGGTATTTTGATCACCTGTGCGATTTTTATTTGTGGTGATATAAACAAAAAAGTTTTGGAAAAAAAAAAAATTTTCTCATTTCCATCATAAAAATATTTAAAAAAATACTAAAATATTCTGCTCCATGTTTTTGGTTAAAAATAATCCCAATAAGTGTATATTGATTGCTTTGTGTGGAAGTTATAGCATCTACAAACTATGGGAGAGATAATGGAATTTACACAGCTTTTACTTTCTGACTGCCTTCACATTTCTTGAGGTGCTAACATAACAGGATAGTACAAACACCCCCAAATGACCCCTTTTCAGAAAGTAGACACCCTAAGCTATCTGCTGAGAGACATATTGAGTCCATGGAAGATTTTTTTTTTTTTCCACAAGTTTTTGGAAAATGACAAAAACTTTTTTTTTAATCCAAAGTTGTCATTTAAATTATTTATTTCTCGCACAAGCTATGGGTATATGTGGAATTACACCCCAAAATACATTCTGCTACTTCTACCGAGTATGGGGGATACCACGTGTGTGAGACTTTTTGGGAGCCTAGCCACATACAGGAACCTGAAATCCAATGACCACTTTGAAAACCTGAAGGTGCGTAACTTCCTCATTTCACTTCCTGACTATCACAGTTTCGAAGGCTCTGAAATGCCAGGATAGCACCAAACCCCCCCAAATGACCCATTTTTGGAAAGTAGACACCCCAAGGAATTTGATAAGAGGCATGGTGAGTATTTTGCAGTTCTATTTTTTTCTCACAAGGTTTTGATATAAAAAAAGAAGACAAAATATGTTTTTGTTTTTTTCTTCAATTTTCAAAAACTTGTGGCAACAAACGAGATCTGCACCATGCTTCTTATAAAATTCCTTGGGGTGTCTACTTTCCAAAAAGGGGTCATTTGGGGGGGTTGGTGCTATCCTGGCATTTCAGGGCCTCAGAAACTGTGATAGGTAGTCAGGAAGTGTCAGGAAGTCTGCAACAAGCTCACCTCCATCCATGACCTCTTTGTCTCCCGCTTCCTTAACCTCCTAGCAATCACCAAAACCTGGGTCCAAGCAACAGACTCTGCCTCCCCCGCAGCACTCTCCTATGGAGGTCTCATCTGGACCCACTCACCCAGACCCAGTGGTTGGAAAGGTGTTGGGGTTGGTCTGCTCCTGTCACCACTGAGCACCTTCCAGGTCCTCCCTAATCCTCCCTCTCTTTCCTTTAAGACCCACTGCATCCGGCTATTCTCTCCGATCTCTCTGAGGATTGCAGTGATCTATCGGCCTCCTGGACCCATGCCCTGCTTACTTGATTACTTTGCTGCCTGGCTACCCTACTTTCTCTCCTCTGAACTACCCACTATCATTCTTAGGGATTTCAACATCCCTATCAACATCAATAACCCGGCTACATCCCAACTCTTCCACATTACCTCATCTTTTGCACTAGCACAGTGTATACAGTCCACCACTCACTCTGACGGGAATACTCTTGACCTTGTCTTCTCTCACCTTTGCACTCCCTGCAACCTCACAAATGCCCCCTTTCCTCCCTCCGATCACAACCTCATCACCTTCTCCGTCTCCTCGTTCTCAAACACCTATCCCTCTAAATGGCAAAGTTACCAACAGAAACCTCCGGAACTGGAACCCTGCTCCCTTCCACTCTGCAACTGACCAACTTTACGACAGCATCCATCCCCTGTCATGCCCTGACCTGGCCACTACTGTCTACCACAACTCACTTTCAGCTGCTCTAGACTCAGTCGCACCCCCCCAACATCACGAAGCATTAGGCCCCAACCGCTACAACCCTGGCAGACCGACCATACCAGAAACCTCAAACGACATAGTTGTGCGCTGGAGCGACTATGGCGTAAAACCAAATCCCAACAAGCGTTCACCTGCTATAAATCTGCCTTCTTAACGTACGCTTCCTCCCTTCACGCTGCCAAACAAGCCTACTTTATTACCTTCATTAATACCTTCTCCTCCAGTCCTTTCCGGCTCTTCTCCACTTTTAACTCTCTACTTTCTCCACCTCCACCCAGTACCTCACTTACCGCCCATGAGATTGCCAACCACTTCAAAAACAAGATTGATGCAATTCGTAGGGACTTCGCCACAGCTCAGACACCCACCCCACTTAGCATTCCTCACACAATAACCCCCTCAACACTTTGCTCCCTTGACCTCACTACTACCGAAGAGGTCACTAAGATTATCTCTGAAGCCCACCTCAGCACCTGCCCCCTGGACCCTGTCCCCTCACAACTACTACGGTCACCCTCCTCTTCCATCCTATGCTCCCTCACTCACATCTTCAATCTTTCCCTCTTCACCGGTACCTTCCCCTCCCCTCTAAAGCATGTGCACATCACTCCCATACTTAAGAAACCCTCTGTCAGGAATGGACTTGCCAATAGTGGTGGGACTCACCTGCCTTGTGGGCTGCAGTACCAGGGCTGGCCAGCGGGTGCTCTCGACAGCCAGAGGTTCACTTTGGCAATTAGCCATCACCTGGGGCTGATTGCAGGTGGTGTATTTAAGGGATGGCCAGACCTGCAGTCTGTGCCTTGGTGTGT